ACTGCAAAAGATCTGATTGTCACTATTGTCAGTCTGCATATTAGAGAGTTTTAGCGTCGCCTGTAAAATGGCAGCAGATTGCACTATATAGTGCTTCCTAGGAAGTTGAGATTAGTTTAAAATGGTATTAGACCTGCTGGGGTAAGACTATAGATATTGCATAGAAATTGCTGTTGAGATGGAATTTGCTCCATACAAAGTATCATTTATTACTGACTACCGTACTTGGTCTCAAGGTTGCCTGTCATTATCATCGACTGACTAACTCACCAACCATGCCCATTCTTTTAAATGGTATGTTTGGTGTGGGTTTAACACCTTGATCAAGATGATAAAACTCGTTTCAGAAAGGGGACTTCTTCCCATATGGCGTCTATTTAGGACAGTGCAAAGCTAGGTAAAGGAACTCAGGAGGGGAAAAATACAACAAAACCCTAGTACAAGAATTACCACAGCCGTGATATGGATCAGGACTACCATCATCATCATCATCATCATCATCATCATCATCATCATCATCATCATCATCATCTGTTTGAATGTCCAAGAAAAATGGCAATTCGAAAGGAGTTATTTGGACGAGTGGAGGTGCCGCTAAGCATATTGACAATGGAGCTGAAAAAGAGCCTCGCTCTCGCTCGAAGATCTCTTCGTGGAGTCCACCAGGCCCATTAAGGAAACAAAAAAAATCATCATCATCATCATCATCATCATCATCATCATCATCATCATCATCATCAGCATCATCATCAGCATCAGCATCATCAGCATCAGCATCATCACCACCACCATCTCTGCTTATCAATAAGTGCCACATCTGAAACAGACACTGCCGATCATGATTCTCCATTTATTCACCCTCTTTGCTCAGATGCTCTAAAAGAATAATACTCTACAATCATTCTCCTGGTGTTTCCCCGTCATGCACCGCGGAAGCTTTAAGGGCGCCGGCGGTAGGTCCTACTTCTTTACTTTCCCTCTATTATTTTTGTCTGTCTGTCTGTCTGTCTGTCTGTCTGTCTGTCTGTCTGTCTGTCTGTCTGACTGTCTGTCTGTCTATCTGTCTGTTTGTCTGTCTGTCTTACTCTTTTTCAGCACCAAGAAAATGACCATTATTGTAAAGATGTGCTTCTTAATCGAACCAAAAAAAAACAAAAAACCGCCATACATTGCTCAAGTTTTCCAAATAAGTTTCTCTGGGTCTACCCCTGTCTCGTTTGCCTTTTTTTTCTAGTGAAAGTACAAATGTTCAAATCCTTTATGTCTTTCGAGTGTCCTTAAAATTACTATCTAACTATCTCCTTCAAAGTTAAGTTTAATACCAGCTAAGCTATCGGCGTATCCCCTCCACAGACAAAAGAAAGACGACTCGATCATCATGATTCGAATCGAATAGCCTGCTCGGTTGTTTTGGGCTAACCGATCCCGGTTGTGCCGAACAAGACGAGTGTTTACTTTCCTTCTGTTGTTTCTGTCTTGCATTCCCCTGCAAGAAAAAAAAATGTTATTATGCTGGCATCAGTTCAGATGTATCTGAGCAGAACAGTCGTCAACATTATTATTTATTAGTATTATTATTATCATTATTATTGTTATTGTTATTGTTATT